TGACGAACGAAAGCTCAGTCCGTCTTCCTCCGAGACGTCGGAGGATGCCTCGTCGACTGCCTCAATCAGGACGACGACCGCAGAACAATGTGAATCAGCCGCCAATTTCTGCTGAGATTGACCTACGAAGCTCTTCATCATGTACTTCCATACGCAATGAAAGTCTTCACATTAGACTCTGCAGCCTCGACACACCCTCCCGAATCCCCTCACGCACACAAACACCCACACACACACACACGAGGGAGCGGAAACGTACAAGCCAGTCTGGTTTGTGTGTGTGTTTGGAGGGCTGTTGGCTAGCGTCGTCCGAGTGGCGAAAAGTGGCGCCGACGGTGGCAAACGACTAAGAACAGAGAACAGAGAACCACCAACATGCACCTGCGGCGCAGACCGGACTCGAGCTTCAACCGGTCGAGGCACGGACAGGTCGGCGAACCTGCCGCGAGGGAGAGAGGAGGCGAGCTGGTGGCGTGCAGCGTGACGGGAATGGCCGACCTGCGTGCCGCTTTGAGGCGAAGGGAATGCGAAAGTAGAAGAAATGGGGAAAGGTGGAGAGGCGAAGAGAGAGAGACGCGAGCAAGTGTTTCCGAGGGATTGTACGAATTGAGCAAAATGCACGTGGACGTCAGAGCTCAGCGGCGGAGAAGAAAAGAAGCATGAGAGAGGCGAAGAAGAGAAAATCAAGTGAGAAGGGAAGCATCAAAAGGAGAAGCAGAAAGCACAAGGGAGTAGAGTGCTTAGGCAAAGTAGCCAACAGGCGTCTCCTCTCTCATCACTTCCTCTTCCCACTCTTCTTGCTCTTCCGTCTAATTTCCAGTCGCTGTAAGTTCTAACATTAACTTTCGACGAAGCGTGCGCTTCCTTCCTTGCATATACCTTTGTCTTCTTTGCTGTCGCACTAAATTTGTGAGCTGAATTGGGCTTTGTTCTGTAGCAAATATGGTCTTATCTTGAAATTGGGTCTATGCGTTGCTAATGCCAGGGCGGGTCGTCAATGCGCGTGCTGCAGGCTTCAGTCTCGCCCGAGCCGGCAAGGCGATACAGACAAGGTTTTAACTGCAAACCGGCTCTGAGGCAAAAGCAGGGTTTGTTGATGATAACCCATACTTGTCAACTTTCCCCTCTACTCCTGCCCGGATAGCAACCAAGTATTATTGACCAAGATTGTGCAAAGTGTGTACCGAAGCTTTACAGGTGATGTTATCCGGAAAGTCCAGCTCCAGTCGGTAATTGAGTGTATATAAAAGGTAAGAAAAAGCCGGATAGTCTTCTTGGCCTAGTGTTAAGATTTGACTTTTACACGAATGACACCCAGCTCTGACGATGTCCATCGAATGATGGACGAAAGCTCAGCACGTTTTCACCCGAAACGAGTCCCGTGGACTGCGTCAACACACCAAATGATGGACGAAAGCTCAGCACGTTTTCACCCGAAACGAGGGAGGAAGTCCCGTGGACTGCGTCAACATTCATCATTTGATGGACGAAAGCTCAGCACGTTTTCACCCGAAACGAGGGAGGAAGTCCCGTGGACTGCGTCAACATGAATATCGTATGCAAACCAGCTGCAGTACAACGAGATTCATCCGTCCTCATCTGGTGAGATCGACCAACGAATCTCTTCTTCATGCA